AATATTGCTGTATTAGCACAATTTCCACACATATATAGAATATCATGTATTTATAATTTTCATTATGTTTAATTGCTTCTTACTATTAGTAGTGATTTATTGTGGTACTAGTTGTTTATAATTTTAATATATTTTATTAAATAATTTACAGTAATATTGCGTTCAAGCCTTTTTTTATGGATTTCATAATAAGTAGTCATAATAAGTACTTAAGTAAATTAGCAACTCTAAAGCTGAAGAATTACAAAGAATGTGACTTGTAACCTCCTTATCTTCTAGACAGGCACAGTGTTTTGCTGTTATGTCACACTAGACAGTCATATGTCGAATGAAAGAAAAATCTGGAATAGCGCTCCTTTTTATAATCGCAAGACCAAACATGGTTATTAGAACTGTTTAATAGTGCCGGTCTTCAGTTCGAACAAAAATTATCAAACAAAAAATTTTCAAGAAAACAATGCCTTGATTATTGTTTGACTATCTAAATATATATCGATGTAGGTACATTTTATAGCCTAGAAGTAGCTTAGACTTAAATGAGCATATACATCAATTACGTATAGGTCTGCTTAAAAGATGGTTGGTGAAGCATGCAAAGCCAACTAAATTGTGATATTGACACCAAAAATTTCTGTACAGTGAAATTTTACTCACTCACTTAAGATTATTTATTTAGAATGAAAAAAAAACTACTTTTTACTAAAATGTTTAAATTGTAAGTATTTGAAATCTTTTTTAGCGAACAAAAGTGCAATAAGATCAGTTATGTACTATACACTTAACTGATCTTATTAAATACTATAGCATCTTTAGATTTATATGTAGTATTTATACTTTAGAAGACCCCAGTCTATTTATGAAGAATCCACTATTTGTATTCAAATATGGGTATTTAACGTTATATTGTACGCAGTATATTCTACGATGGATGTAAAATTTATTTCTTGAGTACTTTTAATGAAAATGAATGAGTTTAAGCCACCTCAATATATTTCGCTCATGCAATCTATAAATTATCTATAAAATATGTGTACATATTT